GGGGGGCCCGAGGAGCTCCTGGTGCCCACCCAGGGGGGCCCCGTGCGCGGCTTCCGCGTCCCCGCCGGGCCCCCCCCGCTCGCCGCCGCCGCCTTCCTGGGGATCCCCTACGCCGAGCCCCCCCTGGGGCCCCTGCGCTTCGCCCCCCCCCGCCCCGCCCGGCCCTGGCCGGGGGTCCTGGAGGCCACGGCCCACCCCCACGCCTGCTTCCAGCCGGTGGACACCATGTTCCCGGGCTTCGGCGGCTCCGAGATGTGGAACCCCAACCGGGAGATGAGCGAGGACTGCCTCTACCTCAACGTCTGGGCGCCCTCGCCGCGCCCGCCGGCGCCGGCGCCGGTGCTGGTCTGGATCTACGGCGGCGGCTTCTACAGCGGGGCGGCCTCGCTGGACGTCTACGACGGGCGCTTCCTGGCCGCCGCCGAGGGGGTGCTGGTGGTCTCCATGAACTACCGGGTGGGCGCCCTGGGCTTCCTGGCGCTGCCCGGCCACCCCGAGGCCCCCGGCAACGTGGGGCTGCTGGACCAGCGGCTGGCGCTGCGTTGGGTGCAGGCCAACATCGCCGCCTTCGGGGGCGACCCGGGCGCCGTCACCCTGTTTGGCGAGAGCGCCGGCGCCGCCTCGGTGGGGCTCCACCTGCTGTCGGGGGCCAGCCGGGGGCTGTTCCGGCGCGCGGTGCTGCAGAGCGGCTCGCCCAACGGGCCCTGGGCCACCGTGGGCGCCGCCGAGGGCCGGCGCCGGGCGGCGCGGCTGGGCCGGCTGCTGGGCTGCCCCGGGGCGGGCGCGGGCGGCGCGGTGACCAACGAGACGGAGCTGCTGGGCTGCCTGCGCGCCGCGCCGCCGCCGCGGCTGGTGGAGCACGAGGCGGCCGTGCTGCCGCAGCAGGGCGTGTTCCGCTTCGCCTTCGTGCCCGTGGTGGACGGCGACTTCCTGGCCGACACGCCCGAGGCGCTGCTGGGCGGCCCCGGCAGCGCCGAGGCCGAGGTGCTGCTGGGCGCCGTGCAGGACGAGGGCACCTACTTCCTGGTGTACGGCGTGCCGGGCTTCGGCAAGGACAACGAGAGCCTCATCAGCCGCGAGGAGTTCCTGGGCGGGGTGCGCCTGGGGGTGCCGCAGGCCAACGAGCTGGCGGCCGAGGCGGTGGTGCTGCAGTACACGGACTGGCTGGACCAGGACAACCCCGTGAAGAACCGCGAGGCGCTGGACGACATCGTGGGCGACCACAACGTGGTCTGCCCCCTGATGCACTTCGCCCAGCGCTGGGCCGAGCGCGGCGGCACCGTCTTCGCCTACCTGTTCGACCACCGCGCCTCCAACCTGCTGTGGCCGCCCTGGATGGGGGTCCCGCACGGCTACGAGATCGAGTTCGTCTTCGGGCAGCCCCTCAACCCCGGGCTCAACTACACGGCCGAGGAGGAGCAGCTGAGCCGGCGCATCATGAGATACTGGGGCAACTTCGCCAGGACCGGGTAACGGCACCGCGGGGAGGGAGGGAGGGGTGGGAGAGGAAAAGCCTCCATAGGTGGTTGGAGGGATGGAGGGATGGATGGAGAGGTGAAGATAAGGCCATGGGGATGGAGGGATGGAGGGATGGACAGACAAGGAAGAGCCTCCGTAGATGGATGGAGGGATGGAGGGAGGGATGGATGGAGGGATGGACGGATGGACGGAGGGATGGGATGGATGGGAGAGGAAAAGCTTCCATAGGTGGTTGGAGGGATGGAGGGATGGATGGAGAGATGCAGGGGTGGATGGAGAGGTGAAGATAAGGCCATGGGGATGGAGGGATGGATGGACAGACGAGGAAGAGCCTCCGTAGATGGATGGAGGGATGGAGGGAAGGAGGGATGGATGGGAGAGGAAAAGTCTCCATAGATGGTTGGATGGAGGGATGGATGGACGGGATGGATGGGAGAGGAAAAGCCTCCATAGATGGTTGAAGGGATGGAGGGATGGAGAGATGGAGGGATGGAGGGATGGAGGGATGGATGGAGGGATGGATGGACAGAGGAATGGAGGGATGGATGGAGGGATGGAGGGTTGGATGGATGGAGGGAGGGAGGGATGGATGGGTGGAGAGATGGAGGGATGGGAGAGGAAGAGCCTCCATAGATGGTTGAAGGGTTGGATGGAGGCATGGATGAAGGGATGGAGGGATGGGATGGGTAAGAGAAGAAAAGCCTCCATAGATGGCTGAAGGGTTGGATGGAGGGAGGGGTGGAGGGATGGAGGGATGGATGGATGGGTGGAGAGATGGGTGGGAGAGGAAGGGATGGAGGTGAGGTTTGGTCGGGATGGGTTGGGTTGGGATGGGTTGAGTTTGTTTGGGATGAGTTGGGATGAGTTGTGTTGGGTCGGGATGGGTTGGGTTGGATGAGTTGGGTTGGGATGAGTTGGGATGGGTTGAGTTGAGTTGGATGAGTTGGGTTGAGTTGGGTTGAGTTGGGATGGGTTGAGTTGGGTTGGGATGG